CCTTCCTGCAAAAATGCTATCCCCTATTCCCAATTCCTTCGCCTCCGCCGCATCTGCTCCCAGGATGAGGCATTCCACACCCGTACATCTCAGTTGTCCTCGTTTTTCAAGGACTGTAACTTCCCCCCCTCGGTGGTGGACTTTGAGATTACAAGGTGTAGAGCTGGATGAACACAGCAGGCCAGGCAGCATCAGAGGAGCAGGAAAGCTGATGTTTTGGGTCAGGACCCTTCTTCGGAAATGGGGGAGGGGAAGGGGACTCTGAAATAAATAGTCGGGGGCGGGGGTGGGGGGGGGGAGGCGATGATGGAAGGTGGATAAAGGAGCAGATAGGTGAAGAGGAGATGGACAGGTCAAAGAGGCGGGGATGGACCCAGTAAAGTGAGTGTAGGTGGGGAGTTAGAATGGGGATTGATCAGTCGAGAAAGACAGACAGGTCAAGGAGGCGGGGATGAGGCTGGTAGGTAGGGGGTGGGGGTGGGGGTTGGTCAGTGAGGTGGGAGGAGCGGATAGGTGAGAGAAAAGACGGACAGTTCAAGGAGGCGGGGATGAGCTGGGCTGGTTTTGGGATGAGGTTGGGGGTGGGGAGATTTTGAAGCTTGTGAAGTCCACATTCAGACCATTGGGCTGCAGGGTTCCCAAGCGAAATATGAGGTGCTGTTCCTGCAGCCTTCGAGTGGCATCATTGTGGCTCTGGAGGAGGCCCAGGATGGACATGTCGTTCAAGGAGTGGGAGGGGGAGTTGAAGTGGTTCGCGACTGGGAGGTGCAGTCGTTTGTCATGAACCGAGCGTAGGTGTTCCACAAAGCGGTCTCCAAGCCTCCGCTTGGTTTCCCCAATGTACAGGAGGCCACATCGGGAACAGCGGATACAATATACCACATTAAACAGATGTTCACCTGCACATCTGCTAATGTGGAAGGTGTTCTTGGGGCCTGGGCCATGGACAGCAGACAGTTGGAAATGGCCACATTTGGACTACTGTGTGCAGTTTTGGGCACCATATCTCAGGAAGGATGTACTGACCCTGGAGCGGGTTCAGAGGAGGTTCATGAGAATGGTCCGAGGAATGAAAAGCTTAACACATGAGGAACGTTTGAGGACTCTGGGATTATACTCATTGGAGTTTAGAAGGATGAGGGGGGATTTAATTGAAACTTCCAGAATACTGAATGGCCTGGACAGAGTGGATGTTGGGAAGAAGCTTCCATTGGTAGGAGAGACTAGGACCCGAGGGCACAGCCTTAGAGTAAAGGGAAGGCTTTTTTGAACGGAGATAAGGAGAAACTTCTTCAGCCAGAGAGTGGTGAATCAATGGAATTCACTGCCACAGAAGGCTGCAGAGGCCAGGTCATTGAGTACATTTAAGACTGAGAGAGATAGGTTCTTGATTACCAAGGGGATCAAGGGTTGCAGGGAGAAAGTGGGAGAATGGGGTTGAGGAACTTATCAGCCATGATTGAATGGTGGAGCAGACTCGATGTGCTGAATGGCCTAATTTCTGCTCCTATGTCTTATAGTCTTACGGTCTTATGGATGACCTCAAGTTTACCGAGAGTAGAACATGGGAAACCAGCCAGGAATGCCTTTGAATAGTCAAGTCTTAAAGCTGCAAAGGCATGACTAAGGGTTTCAGTAGTAGATGAGTTGAGTCAGGGACAAAGTTTTCTGATATTATAGACAAGAAAATAGGTGGTCCTGGTGATGGCACAGACATGTGATCAGAAGTCAACAATTGCTTCAGTTACCCTATAAATACCCAATCTTCATTAACCAACCAGCAATCTGAATTAATGGAATTAGGATGGCCAAACCTGCCACAAGCCATATCCATTTCCAGAAAAGGCCTAGCAGGCAAGTTGAGAATTTAAAAAAAAAATTCAGGTTTTGTGGGCCATGATCATCAGCAGTGCTCCTCCAAGACACACATGAACTTGGGCCTCCCTTGAACCAGGCTACATAAACCCCACCACCACTTTGGATTGTAGCCAGATCGATGCCACAACCATGCCTGTTGCGGCCTTTTGAAGCTTTCCTTGCTCTGCATTCCCACTCTTCACTAAGTCATGGCCCCAATTCCCCAATAGCTGCGAGGTACAGTCTCCAGCACTCAGATGAAGTTCTGGTGTTGAAATCAGCAAGGTCTCCTTATCCCATATTTTGCTGGCTTCTTTGACAAATTGTGGCCTCCACATAAATGTCAGGTCTGCAGAGTCTGTTTATTCTCCAACTGGCATGGAAGACAGTGTGTCTGGAAGATGGAACGATGCTAGGAATATTGGGGGTGAGGTATTCAAAGCGAGTGTTACACAGAAACTTGAAAATAGGTGCAGGGGTAGGCCATTAGGCCCTTTGAGCCTGCACCATCATTCAATATGATCATGGCTGATATTGCAATCTCAATATTCCATTCCTGCTTCCTCTCCATACCCCTTAATCCCTTTAGCTGCAAGGGCCACGTCCAGTTCCCTCTTGAATATATCTAATGAGCTGGCCTTGGCAGCTTCCTGTGGGAGAGAATTCCACAGGTTTACAACTCTCTGAGTGAAGAAATTCTTCCTCATCTCAGTCCTGAATGGCTTACTCCTTATTCTTATACTGTGACCCCTAATTCTGGACTTCCCCAACTTCAGGAACATTCTTCCCGCATCTAGCCTGTCCAGGCCCACCAGGGTTTTATATGTTTCTACAAGATTCCCCCTCATTCTTCTAAAGCACAAGCCCAGTCAATCCAGTCTTTGCTTATATGTCAGTTCTGTCTTCCTGGGAATCAGTCTGGTGATCATTTGCTGGACTCCCTCAATAGTAAGAATGTTCTTCCTCAGACTCGGAGACCAAAACTGCACACTATACTCAAGGTGTGGCCTCAGCAAGGCCCTGTATAACTTCAGCAAGACATCCTTACTCTGATTCTCAAATCCCCTCACTATGAAGGCCAACATGCCATTAGCTTTCCTCACTGCCTGCTGCACCTGCATGCCAACCTTCAGCGACTGTTCCACCATGACATCCAGGTCTCATTGCACCTCACCTTCTCCTAAAATGCCATTATTCAGATAATAATCTGCATTCCTGTTTTTGTGATCAAAGTGGATAACCTCACATTTATCCACATTATATTGCATTTACCAAGTATTTGCCCACTCAGCCAGTTTGTCCAAGTCACCCTGCAGCCTCTTAGCAGTCTCCTTCCAGTACATCCTGCCATCCAGTTTAGTGTCATCTACAAATTTGGAGATATTGCATCCAATTCCTTCATCCAAATCGTTAATGTATATTGTGAACAACTGAGGTCCCACCACTGAACGCTTCGACAGCCCTCTTGTCACTGCCTTCCCTCTGAAAAGGACCCACTTATTGCACCTCTCTGCTTCCTGTCTGCCAAACAGGAATTCATATGAAATCTTCAGAAATATACCCGACCAGAGTTGGTAATCCATTTCTGCTGGGTTGTTACTGCTGGATACTTAGTCTATTGTAACGGGCAGATCACATTCACATACACATGACGAGCTGTCTACTTGGAACAGTTGGCTTGAGGCAGCTCACTAGGATTTGACTATCAACCCTTGTGTACGTTGTCTGGAGAAAGTCAGCTGGGTTTTTACCTAACATGAATGGGGAGGAGTATAATGTGACAGACAGAAATTATTTTTGTGCAACCTTCAGAAGGCATCAAAAAATATCTTACACTTACCTATATAAGTCATTGTTTCATGTCAGTTTTATTGACCAGATGTCAGTACTAAGCACTCCATTTTGATCTCCCACTAGGGAAGACAATGGCCTCGTGGTATTAGATTATTGATCCAGAGACCCAGGCAGTGTTCTGGGAAGCCTGATTCAAATCCTTCCACGGCAGACTGTAAATTTGAATTCAACTAAAAATCTGCGATTAAGATTCTATTAATGACCATGAAACTGTTGCTTTTAGGGGAAAAACCCATTGATTCACTAATGTCCTTCAGGAAGGAAACTGTTGTCCTTACCTGGTCAGATCTACATGAAACTTCAGGCTCACAATGTGACTGACTCTTAACAGTCCCCTGTGCAATTAGGCATGGGCAATAAATGCTGCCTAGCCAGCAATATCCATATTCTGTGAATGAATTAAAAGAAAAATCTAAAGGAGGGAGTCACTATGCTAGTGGTACTTTAACTTTAGAGATAATTATGTTGGAATGTAATGTGGTATTGCATGGTCTGTGTGGATCAATCTGCTTTATAAACTGAGCCACAGTGGCGTGACTGCCCTGTTAAACCTTGATAATGTTGTCTCAACAGGCAGCTGAATTGTTTCCAATTTCATATAAACATTTTTGCAAGCTGAATGATAAAACTTGCCTTTTTGACCCTGTGATTTTTCATTCTTTTGGGGAAGCTCTTGACCTTCACTCCATAGCTGACTCCTGCTGGTCGAAATAAATCCGAAGTTTCCACTTTGGGGTGCTGCGGATGTGAACCCGCATTACCCAATTCTAATATTCAATGTATCAGTGTGTTGCATTACTGACTGCCAGGTTTTCAGAAACACATCAATTAAATCTTAACTTTTAACATTGACTTCATGATAATAGAAGTACTTCCAAAGGAAATGGAACTGACAGTTACATGTTGCATTTTTGGCTTGGCTGTTTTCAAGGACAGCATGAATTTGATAAAACTCTCATGACTGTAAAAGAATTACGTCACCTTAGTTGGCAGCATGAAGAGGTCGTTGGTACCAAGGTACGGATGTCTCCTTCACAGCAGCATACACGATGACCAATAATATATCCTCTATTAACCTTGTGGAGATAAAGCTCTCACTATTTCTGTCATTCAGAGAAATTGGATAACCAATCAACATAGAAAAAGAAATGAAATAATCAGTCACGCCTCACTTGTCTTTAAATGGTAGTCGAGTGCAGGTGAAGTTCAAGGTACTTTTACAGCAGGGTTTCACTGAGCCTATAAAAGCAGAGTTCAGTGACTGTGAAGGCAGATAAGCTTCAGAGATTGCAGGCAGTTAACAATGGCTTGTGTATTCCAGTCAGTGAGTTTTGATAAATGCCAATGTGGGCAGAGATCACACAGCAGCATACTCTACAGCATTCTCAACAAAGATCATCCCAGCGAATCAAGCTGGTGCCACTATCGACATCACCATCACTCCTCAGCTCCTGGATGCTCCTGTGAGTTTAGAAGGAAAGTTGTTCTCAAAATGCCTGAACTCACTTGCAGACGAGCCTCACAGGTGCTCCTAAAGACTTTGACTTTCATTAAGAACTTGCCCTCTTTTTGTCAACTACCTGAAGGTGATCAGGTCCTGCTGGTGCAGAATTGTTGGGCTCCGCTCTTTGTCTTGGGGTTGGCCCAGGAAAGAGTTGACTTTGAAGTGACTGAGGCTGTGGCACCCAGCTTGCTGAGAAAGATTCTCTTGAATCAGAAAGTGATGGATGGGCAGAACTCGGAGACAGCCTTGAATGCCACTTCTCTGGTAGAAGTTCAAAAAGTGAAGATATTTCTTATGAAGCTCTGGAACATGGATGTCAGCAACAAAGAATATGCATATCTCAAAGGCATTACACTTTTCAACCCAGGTAAGAAAGAAACAGAATTTCATTAACAATGCTGACTTGCCTTTATAATTATTTCTCACAAAATAGATAATTCTTAAATTTTTCACAAAGTAATTGGGCAATTCTCTCTCAGGTTGTTCCTTGTCTGATTAAACCCTCTGCACTCAGAAAATCCTTTTTCGTTGTAGAGGGTTGTATCACTCCTGATGGTTTACTACTGAACACTTGACAACATTCCTGGTTTAGCCATGAGGAGTTCCGTAGTGATTCAGGCCCATATGCTCACAACTAGTTAATGTAGCCGTTTGCGGGGGAGCCTCTTAATTTGGCAAGTTGGTTCCTTCATGTGTGGGCAACTTAAGGGGAAGTGGAAGGAAAAGCCCTGCAAACCTTTCAGTGATGTTGATGAAAGGCAGAAGGGAATCAAAGGGCTTAATATCAGAAGAGGTTGACATTCAAACTCAGGCAACCGACAAGGCAAAAAAAAAAGGACATGAGAAAGAGCAGGAAAATTAAAGTACAGGAGATAGCTTCAGTACAAGAAATAGGATCCTTATTAGTGCAACAGGTTGAATGGACTCTTTCTGTGCATAACTTTTATGATTCTCTGAAACAACACAAATTAAATTCTGACATATAACCAAAACAGCCAAAGCCAGAGGAAATCCTGCTAATTCCGGAGTGTTCTCATTAGATCACAGCTTATGCCACATCAGCAGCAGGCAAGCCCTAGTAGTGGTTCAGAAAAGAGGAATATGTTAATTCCTTAGCTACAACAACAATAATGACCAGTATTTATATAGCATCATTAACATAGTAAAACTTCCTAAAGTGGTCAAAGGAGCATTACCAACAAACACTTGACACTGAGTCACCAAGGGAAGTACTAGGGCTCAAATTAAAATACTGGTCAAAGTTTTACATTTTCACATTTTAAGGAATGTCTTAAAGGAGGGAAGTGAGGAAGAGAGGATGAAAGGGAACCTGTAGTTGGGGTGCACTTGGGTTTTGAAAATTTTAGAAGATGCTACATCAAAGATTACTGCACAAGCTAAGAGTACTTGATGTCAGGATAAAGACCGGTTAGCCATAGAAAGCAGAGAATAGGAATAAATGGGTCTCTTGCAGATTGGCAAACTATAGATAATGAAGCATCACAGGGATCAGTGCAAATTCTCAAGTGCTGACTATTGACGTTGGATGAAAGGACCAAAGTGTAGTAGTTAAATTTACCAATGACATCAAGACATGTAGGAAAATGATTTGTCAAGAATGTACAGAGTCTGTAAGGGACTATAGCTAGATTAAGTGAGTACGTAAAAGTTGGCATATTGGGTATAATGTGGGAAAATGTGAATTTGTCCATTTTGGCAGGACAATTAGAAAAGTAGTATTTTATTCAAATAGAATCAGATTGCAGAACATGTGGTTAGAGAGAGATCTAGGTCTTCTGGTACAAGAATAACAAATAGTTAGTATGGATGCACAACAAGTAGTCAAGAAGGCAAATGGAATGTTAATGTTTGTTGTAAGGGAAATGGAACATAAAAGTAGAGAAGATTTACTGCAACTGGACAGGGCCTTGGTGAGACTTTATCAGAGGTAATGTATGCAGTTTTGGTTTCCTTATTTGAAAAAAAACAATATCATTATATTTTAAAGAGCAGTTCAAAGATTTATTTGACTCCTTCATTCAATTAAGGGATTCATAGATCATGGAAGATCATAGAATCCCTACAGTGTGGAAACAGGCCCTTCGGCCCAACAAGTCCACACCAACCCCTGGAGCATCTCACCCAGGCCCATCCCCCTATAACCCACCTAAGCTACACATCCCTGAGTGCTATGGGCAATTTAGCATGGCCAATCCACCTAACCTGCACATCTTTGGACTGTGAGAGGAAACCGGAGCACCCAGAGGAAACCCATGCAGACACGGGGAGAACGTGCAAACTCCACACAGTCACCCGAGGGTGGAATCGAACCTGGGTCCCTGGTGCTGTGAGGCCGCAGTGCTAACCACTGAGCCACCATGCTGCCCTAAATTATGTTATTATGAAAGATTGAACAGGTTTGGCGTATACCTTATCAGAATAAAGTGATCTTGTTGAAACATTTAAGGTTCTGAAGGGACTAGAATGGGTGGATACTGAAAGGATGGTCCTTCTTGTTAAGGGAGACTAGAACACAGTTCTAGTGGGGTTAAGGGACACAGTTTAAGAATAAGTAGAGGAGATTTTTTTCTAAATCTCAAAGAGTTGTTAGTTTGTGGAAGTCTCTTCCCCAGAAATCAGTGGAGGCTGGGTCATGGAATTTATTCAATGCAGACTTAGATATATTTTTGATAGAGAGGGGAGTTAAGGGTTATGGGGGCAGACAAGAAAGTGGAATTGAAACCACAATCCGATCAGCCATGATCTTATTGACTGGTGAAGCAGGCTTGAAAGGCTGAATGGCCTGCACATATTGCTAAGTATGATGTTACGAGAGAATTTAAGATAGAACAAGTGAGGGACCTGGACAACTGAAGGCATAAGTGCCAGTGCTGGAGTGATTAAAGTCAGGAATGCTCAAAAGGCTAGAATAGGAGAAGTGGAGATATCTTGGTGGATTGTAGTGCTGGAGGAGATGGTGGGATATTGCCTGCCGTCTGGCAGATATCTTAAAGTGTCATTGATGGAGGCCTGGGGTGTTGTGTTGTCAGGTAAAATTTAATAATTCAGAAATATAGGGGAGGCAATTGCCAGTGGAATTATCACTGGACTGTTAATCCTGAGATCCAGGTAATATTCTGGGCACCCGGGTTCAAATCCCGCCACGGCAGATGGTGGAACGTGAATTCGATAAAAATCTGGAATTAAGAGTCTAATGATGATCATGAATCTATTGTCAATTGTCAGGTAAAACCCATCGGGTTCACTAATGTCTTTTAGGAACACATTCTGCAACCAAGAAATACAATACAAGTTTGACCTCCTTCTGCTGAGTTCCCAATATAGCGAGAGGAGAGCAGTTGGCTTATTCTCTAGAGTGCACAAACTGATCAGTGGTTCATGGTGAATACTGATGATGGGGTCCCTTTCATATGCAGAAGATGCATGATTCAGGGAGGAACAGTAAGGTGAAGGCAGGGTGGGAGTCAGAAAGAGAGAAGGAGTTTGTGTTCTCACTAAAAGCTCTAAATCTATGAAACATCTAGCATCCTCTTATAATTGCAGAAGTGTGTTTGTAGAACAAGAAAGATCATAATTCAGGAAAAGATGTTCCGCATGTTTTCACTATTAAAATAAGAAGTGATTATTGGGACGGTAGTGCTCTACCAGTTCATTTGTCATTTTATGCACAAAAATATTTGTGTTTTTTAAAAATAATTTATTAATCCTTTAAAGTAAAAATTTAATGCTCATTTTCATGTAAGATCTATTTGTTTTATACAGACTAACCGAAATGTTCAAACAGTCACAAATAACTATCTACCCCATCATGGCAAAGAATGTTCAGGAATTAATTTTGAACATTTTTCACTTAACGTTGTATACTTTACTTTTATATCTTGTGAGAGGATGTGGACAAAGATATCATAAATGATCCAACCAGAATGCTTTTATTCCTATTTCTCAGTGCATTTTCTCTTCTCTTGACCCCACTCCACGTATTGTTCATAGAATAAAAAGGTGAACAGTCCAACAATTCAGTGCTAGTCTCTGCTAATGCTCCAACTACCTGGAATTTATGAGAAGCTTGAAGTGTCTGAATCTTCAATACTTTCACTGATTCCTTGATGTGAAGTGTCTCGTCTCTACTTGGTATGTCCTCATCACGGGGCATGCTCAGTGAAATTTCTTGCCCAGTTTCCAGTTGCATTGTTTATAACTCATTATGCATGACCTGAAATATTTAATCAAACATATTTCACATCAAAGTTTTACAGATGACTTAAATTAAATAAATTTTAAACTAACTTAAGTTGCAGATAAGAAACTATCAATCGTTTAATGACAGATCTTAGATTCATGCTCATGCCTGTAGGTATGATTAATTCCCAAACTCAATCAAGTCATTTGAACGGTGGAGCAGGCTCGAAGGGCCAGACGGCCTACTCCTGCTCCTAGTTCTTATGTTCTTATGAGAAATTAAACCGAATAGCTATAAAAGGGAAAAGAGATTTTAAGTTGACTGTACATAGGATAAAATTTGCCTTGGACAGGAGCACAATTACATGTCATATCAGCTACCTGTTATGTATTGAATTGTAGTCCCTATGACTGCAAAAACTTTGAATATTGGCAGGGAGTATAAAGGCAGCTCATACAATACTACTCGTTTTGTACTACCAATGTTCTAACATTGATTTTCAAAACAGAACAGGGAGCATCTTTGAATTATTTTTTTCCGTTTTAAATGACCATTACCCTTTATCATCCTGTTTTACAGACGTTCCTAGCCTAAGGATGCCTCAGTATATCCTGGCTCTGCAGCAGGAAGCTCAGCACACCCTGAATGAATTCATCACAATGGTGAACAATGGAGATCAGGCGAGATTTGCTCAAATTCTACTGATTCTCTCCACTCTTAGAATGGTCAGCGTTACTTCTGTAACAGAACTTTTTTTCAGACCAGTCCTGGGCAAAGTGAACATGAATGAATTACTCTTAGAGATGCTCTGTGCAAAACTGAATTGAATTGTAAGAATGTTATCTGACACACTTGAATCTTTTCAATACTTTTGTAACTTGTGAATGTATTTTTTGTGTGTATGTAGCAAATCTGTAGCAGCTACCTGTGCAATATGTATAGTAACTGTCTTTGGTGTATGTACATAGAGGCATGTCATTAACAAGTGCTTATTTATGTATTTTGTTTAATAAAACTGGAGTTGCGAATCAACCTACATTAAATCCTATTTATTTTCTCAAGTTCTCATCTTTAAACATTCCTTATTTTTAAACTGTGTTCCTTAGTTCTAGATTACCCATGAGAGGAAAAATCCTCTCAGCATCTATCTTGTCAAGAACCCTCAGAATCTTTGATATTTTAAAAAGGTCACCTCTCATTCTTGTAAACTTCAATTTGTATAGGCTTAACCTGCTCAACGTCATTAGATGGACTCATCGTCTCACAATGAGTTGGATGAACCGTCTCTGAACTGCTTCCCAATGGAAGTGAGGCCATCTTGAGTAAGGTGAGCAAAACAGTAAAAAGGTGTATCCCATTAATGCTCAGCACAGTTGCATTAAGAGCTCTGCACTTATATATCCTTGCAATAATGGCCAACATTCCATTTGACTTCTTAATTTATTGCTGTATTTTAATGTTACTCTTTTGTGTACAACAGTATCTTAGATCCCATTGTTCTGCAGCATTCTGCAATAATTCTCCATTTAAATAATTTACTGCTTTTCTCATCTTCCTGCCATAGTGGTCAATTTCAAATTTCTCACAACATACCCAATCTTCCAATTCTCTATCCACTCACTTGGGTTTCCCTTTTTCAACCTCCTTGGTTGACTGTAACAAAGATTTAATGATCTTTTTAGCATGCAGCTATACCTCACTTTAATTAAAATATAGTTCTAAGGAGCTAATTGCAATGTTTTCTTGAAAGAAAGTTTTATCATTTATTAACCGCAAGAAAATTAATAAAGATACACATGCACATGTATGAAGTCAGACAGTGTCCAATATAAAAAGGGAAAAGATAAAAGAATATACAGTTTAGACTCCTTAGGGATATCCTAGGAGTGTTGGTTTTTAACCACAGACATCTGTCTTTCAATGTTTCTTTAATTAGTATTGTCAACGGTTACTTTTTCCTTCCTGAGTGACAGCAGAGAGAAAGAGAGAGCTTCTTCCAGTGCTATTACAAATCTATCTTCAAAGGCATTGTTTGAAGTACATCTTATTCATGTATTTCCATGTCCGGTGTCATTCATCCAAGCTGAATAATCACAGGCAAGTATTTCATTTCAAATATCTGAAATGTTTTACATAGCTGTAAATTAAAAATGAGTTGCATGTTTCTTCATATCTGACTGGTTTCAGTCTCTTTTGATAAAAGGGTCAATTTCACTTCAGACAATTTTGGTTACTTCACAAGGATTTTCTGGAGCTTAGACAACTTGCAGTCAGGTGGTCACTATGGCCATTTTAAATCATCACTTTCTTTTTTAAACAATTTCAGTCCGTTAAAGTTTCAGATATCAAGATCAGATGATAGAATTCAAATATATTGCCCATATCTTGCCACTATTGTGACACTTAACAGACTTTTGCATCCTCCTGACACCTTGCTTGCCTACCTGCCTTTGTATCATTAATAAATTTGGCTACAATACATTCAATAACTTAATCAATGTTATGAATAGAGGTCATAAACAATTGAGGCCCCGGAATTGATCCCTATGGCATTCCCCTATTACCATAGTTTGACAACTGATTGTTTGATTGATTTATTGTCACGTGTACCGAAGTACAGTGAAAAGCTTTGTTTACGAGCAGAACAGGTTGATCATAGTAAGCAAGGACGTACAGATCAAAAAGACTTAGACAGAGGTATACAGGTTACATATCATAGGGCTTGCGCTAGGCGAGATCAACATTAGCGAGATCAGCATTATTTGAGGCTAGAGTCCATTCATCAGTTTAACAATGACTGGGAAGAAGCTGTTCCTGAACCTGCTGGTGCATGTGTTCAGGCTTCTGTATCTTCTGCCTGATGGAAGAAGTTGTAGGAAATCATTACTGGGGTGCAATGGGTCTTTGATGATGTTGGTAGCTTTTCCATGGCAACGAGCGGTGTAAATGGAGTCCATGGATAGAAGTTGGCTTCCATCATGGTCTAGGCTATGCACATCACCTCCTGTAGTTTCTTACGGTCCTGGTCAGTGCAGCTGCCATACCAGGCCGTTATGCATCCAGATAGTATGCTTTCAATGGTGCATCTGTAGAAGTTGGCGACGGTCCTTATGGACATGCCAAATTTCCTGAGCCACGTGAGGAAGAAGAGGTGTTGTTAAGTCTTCCTGACCGTTACATCTATGTGGGAAGTCCAAGACAGTTGTTGGTTATTGTTAATTCAAAGAACTTGAGGCTCTCCACCCTCTCAACCTCAGTTCCATTGATGTAGATGGGGCATGTGTTCTCCTCCTTTCTTTCTGAAGTCAATGATCAGTTCTTTAGTTTTGCCGACGTTGAGACAGGGGCTGTTCTCATTGCACCACGTCACCAAGCCGTCTATCTCTCTTCTGTATTTTGACTCGTCGTTGTTAGGTATCCTTACTACTATGATGGTGTTGTCAGCGAACTTGTAGATGGCATTCATTCAGAATTTGTTAACACAGTTGTGGGTGTACAGGGTGCACAGTAAGAGGTTTAGGACACATCCTTGGCAGGGCTCTAGCGTTGAGTGTTATTGTGGAGCATGTGCAGTTCTCTGTCTTCACAGATTGTGGTCTGTGGGTCGGAAAGCTGAGGATCCAGCTGGAAAGGGAGGAGCCAAGAACCAAGGTCACGGAGTTTTGAGGTCAGTCTGGAGGGGATAATGGTGTAGTCAACAAGTGGGAGTCTGACGTAGGTGTCCTTGTTGTCCAGATGTTCCAGGAAAGAGTGCAGGGCTAGGGATTATCATGCCTTCCTGTTTCTTGTTAATTAGCCAATCATCCATCTGTGCTAATATGTCAAGTCCAATACTATGAAGTCTTATTTTGTTTAGTAACTGTTTATAGGGCACCTTATTGAATGCTTTGGGATACCCAAATACACTTCATCTATTGCAAAATATAACACAATAGGAACTGGGTATGTTTGTGCACAAAAGATTAGCATGAAAGTACAGCAAATAATTGGGAAGGCAAATGGAATGCTCGTCATTATTGCAAGGGCTGTGGAGCAAAGAAGTACGGAAGTCTTGCTACATTTGACTGGGCATTGATAAGGCTACACATGCGTGTTACATCCGAAAAGAATTTTAATAAATTTGTCAAACATAATTAGTAAGCTTATTAACAAATAAATTTGGGAAAAGAGCATTGGAGATTGTCCTAATTTATTATTACATAGCAGCCATGAGTTGTAATTCTCCTCCAAAGGTGGGTTTGATAGTTATGGAAATGTAATTGGACAGGAAGACAGTGGGTGTGAACACCTTCAGCTTCCTGCTTCTGCCCAGATAAGCACTGGGTCAGGAAGACTCATGGAAAACCTTTCCCACTCCACCACCAATTAAGTCCATAACTTGGCAAGGCAAGCAGTAGGACTCATTATGTGAGAAGTTTGAAAATCAATTGTTCCAGTGTTACTTGCAAAGTTCTGAGGGGCCCTGCATTCAAGACACTCAGTGCCTAATTGAGGGATATAGCATTTGGTTAAGGAGGTGTTCAAAGCTTCATCCTGGCCCCGTTGAGCCTGCAGCCCATTCCCCATGACTCCATCCAGCCATCTCCATTCTGCCGTCACTCATTTTTTGACCTGGGTGCCTTGTAGGTTATTAACCCTCTGGGAATGGCACAGAGTCTACAAATAGGATGTAAACTCCAAGGGAGAGTGGTGATTAAAGTTTTGGCAAAGATCTGTAGCTCGGGTAGTGGGTGAGATTATTGGCTTGTTCTCATTCAGACATTTCATCACCATGTTGGAGAGTGGTGAATGTATCCAGTGTATCTGGCTCCATGGCTTTGTGACAATGACCCAAGGACTCCAAAAGAAATTCCGCAGTTCCACCATCACAGAGAAAGAACTGGTGGAGTTGATGAAGATACTAAAAGAGGGGTCCACAATGAACAGGGGAATCCATCCACTGCCTTCAGGTTTTCAAAGATGGTGTTACGGTCCTTTCCAGGATCCATGCCCAAAAGCTGAGTAAGGAGTGAGCAGCAGATGGGATCCTCTTGAGTGCTCGTTGTCCTGGTTGGTTAAAAACAGGCATGGCAGGTCTCAATACCCCTGCGACAGTGGAAGAAGGGGCTATGACCCCAGTTTATTTATCTCTTCTCTCAGCAAGGGCAGAAGGTCCACATGGAAATTTACAAGCAATAAAATGGTTCAGGAATGGTACAACTTTAGGTTTTGGGCAGCAGGATGGCAAAGATACTGGAGGATAGAAGGAGCTGAAAATTATCCTCTATTTACTAATACAGGAACTGACAAATGGTAGTCTATAATTTAGCTCAGTAATTCTGGCTTTGTTTACATTGACTAACACTTATGTAATATCTTTTCCTCAAATATTTTCATTAAAATCAACAACCTCATTAAATGTGTTATCCATGACGTTCTCAGCATCATGGATGCTCCATAGTTAGTCCATCTACAGTTTTACCTGCTCTATGTGGCTGATTAGGAGCTGCAGCTAACCCACTCCTACATACATGGTGTTGTGGGTAAATTATCACAAGCTACTTATTATGAAATTTCACTGATAATCAAAGACTGAAACAATTATTTAAACTTTATTGCATATAGTAACTAAAATAAGACCCTTCAAGTAAGCAAGTTAAGCCTCACAAACACAATTTAGCAGTTACCCCATTAATGGTGGAATTTCACCGTGATTCCAACCAAAAGCACCTGTTTCTGGATATGTCTAGGGTTTGATTCTTGTGCTTGGATCTCCAGAGTTCTGCTGCTGAAGAGTCCCAAATTGAATTCTTATAGGATTTTCTGTCTTGTTAAGTTTGTGGTGTGAGATTATTTATGACACTTCTGAAGTCACCAAGTCTGTGGCTTACTTTCTTAGCAGGAGTGAAAGCCAGCTGCTCTAAACCTAGTTTCTCCGTTCCTTGTTACATCCAGTGTTAGCTGTCTGTTCAAAACACAGTCTGTCCTGCTAGTACTTCTTTAAATACTTCTTCAGGACAATCATTTTGTCCTTGTGGCATAAGGCAGCCAGTTATCAAGCAGTTGCTAAAACTGATTATTT